ATATAGTACATTAAGATTATAAAAAAATGTTACTAAATTAAATACATTTATAAATTAAACCCTTTACATTAAAAAATATTAAAAATTATATTAATTAAGAATGGTTGAAAGATTTAATAACAGAAGATCCAATGAACTGAGAGTCTGTTTTTAGAAGTCTTCTCATCCACAGAAGGGTCGCAAGAAATAATTATATCTATGAAGGCAAATAAAGGAAAATTCTAGAAGAATTTTTAAGAACAATTAATTATTTAGTATCAAAAATTTCTATTAATTTAAGCGTAGAAATAAGTTCTCTCTCACATTAATTAGTAAATAGTAAAAGGTAGGACGGTCAAAATCGCGTCACCAATTGGGTTCAGGTTGAATCCGAAATTGAACCGACACTAGTTGGCCCAACTTGAACCTGACCCATTTTTGCAAAAGGGCCAGATATTTCAACCCGGACCTGACCTGCGCAGGTTATCTGGTTGACCCGACCTGACTCACGAACACGACAACGGCACGATAGTGGCAGCGGCTTTGCAACGCCGCTAGCGGCATGGCAGCACCGGTAGATGCGACGTGGGAGAGGAAACACAACTCACACAACGAAGACGTGACCGGTGACTCATGCGAAAAGGCGTGACTCAACACGGGCAGACGAGAGGCAGCTTGGGCGATCGACTCGGGCAGTATACGCGGTCAGCGGATTTGGCTATGTCATTCTGGTTCATTCCAAGTTTTCGGGTCAACCCAAACATGACCCGATTTTTGAAATGGTCAGATTTAGGTATGAAATCTTGTACCGATTAATTTTAAGATTGAGTTGGGGTTGATTTGAAAACTCAAAATTTATTAGAAATTGACTTGATTATGATTCAGGGTTAGATTAAACTGGTTGTGTTCGAGTTAAATATATCATTTTCGGGTTAAACGGGTCGTATTTGGATTACATGAGTTGTAATGATCTATTATACAATCTATATAATAAATGCATTACACAATTTGGGTTTGAGTTAGCGAGTTCGGATTGAGTTGAGATCAAGTCAAACATTTTGATTCATATGAGAAATGAATTAGATTCAAGTCAAACATATTCAGGTCAGACTCGAACCCAAATCACCAACTTGATTTGACACCTCTATGCATGAGAGTATTTTCATATTTTCAATAATAATTTATTATATAAGAATTTCAAAATATGAGCTATTTTCTCATAATACTCTAATGCTTATTTTATGAGATATTCTACTATATAAATACTACACCTATTGTGAAGTAAAAAGTAATGGATTTGTGAAATTTTAAGCTTTCAATGTAATATATTTTGGATATCTTTTGTGAAGATTAATGAAACCATTTATCAATGAATTCTTTCAGTGAGAAGCTTATTTTTGATAACATGCTTTCTATTCCAACCTCGATCTTACGGATTTTTTTTGTAAGATGTTTTCAAGTATATATCTTTTAATTATTTGTAAAGCAGAGGTTTTATTATAATTTTAAATAATTTCCTTTTTCTTTAGATAATTTTCTTGAATCACCTCTAATGTTAAAAGATAACTTTATAGGGTAGAGTGTCCCGTGAAAATTGATGAATGCGCTTACTAGATCAATCAGGGGTACTCTTATCCTGCAATGGAGTAAAATTTTCTCCTCCTATTGGAGGAGGGCAAATTATTACATCCAGTGTCCGGATTCGTCCGGACATCAATTCAGACGCACCACGTCACCAAAATATATCGGGCCCAGTGTATTTGGGTGACATGGCACGTCTGGATTGGGTGTCCGGATGTCCGGTGATCGGACGTAATAATTCACCCAATTTTTTATCACTGTTTTTTCTCTACTTTTAAGATATTTTTATACTAAAAAATAACTTTACAAATGAATAAGAAAGCATTCTAGATTTCGTTTGGGATAAATTTATTACTATTTTCTAAAGCTACTCCTCGTACTCAAATTATTATTTCACAAAAAAAATTATACTAAACAAATATTTTAAAAAATAATAAGAAATCTGCCACAAACACAACGTGTTTGAAGAGTTTAATAATACTCCTTAAAGTTTGCTACACGTTGTCCCACATATATTCATGTACAAGAATCGCTTTAAGAATCGCTTTAGAAGTGAAGGGAGCCCACAAATGGTTAGGTAAGCCACTTTGCATGAGGAAAGCCTAAGGAGATTTGAATTGCTGCCAGCCTTAAGCTATAGCTACTATAATTACCAGCCACATTGGTGCAATATTATGAAACTAAAAATATTTTCTTTTTATGCTGATTAAATTAATATATTTTAATGTTGCTTTCATTATTCATCAAAAGATAAGTACCATTTTTCTGGGATGAATTATTATTATTATTTTTAATTATCACAAGAAAAATAATATAGGTATTTTTGCTCTACCAAAAAATAAGGTAATCACAGCACAAATTTTGAGCTATCGCGGTGGTTTTAACCGTCACAATTTTCTTTGCAGCGGTTCTAAAACCGCTACGAATACGCTGTAATTACTATGCGCTGCAACAACATTCCACAGCGGATTTACGACCGGCGGGGTTGCAGTTGCGAATCGCTTGCTTTTGCAGAGGTTATGACCGGTACAAATAACCAGATTTGTGCTGGTTAAAACCGATGCAAATTCGTCAAATCTGGACATTAACAAAAAAGTAGAAAAATGAGAAGAAGAAGAAGAAGAAGAGGAAGAAGCAGAGGAGACTCACAATGAAGCCAGCCGGATGTGTCGTCGCGTGAGGAGAATACCGAGCAAAATGCGAGCGGGATGTACCGGTTTGGTCCTCTCCGATAGTGCAACACTCCATTCCCTGATTCGCTTGAGTCGTGCACAATAGGGAGAAGGGGGATTGGAGACGAACCCTCGAATGGTCCGCTTGAGTCGCGCGCAGCTAGGAGAAGAGGGATCGGCCGCTTGAGTCGCACACAGGAAGGAGAAAGCTAGGGATTTGTTCTATTGTATTTGCATGTAATTTGATTTGTTGGAAAGAATTGTGAGCATGAAGAGTAAGGGGTGTTCAAATATGAGTTAGGTTATGCTTATCTTAATGATATTTATGTAGGTATTTTCTTCTCAAATCATGGTGTAAAAATATGTTGGCGCTAATGTTTATGAACATTTATTAAAAGTGTTTTGATAAAGATAATTATGTGACATGATGAAAAACTTAGGCTTCGTTTGGGGCAGCTTTCTTATTACTTTTTAAAACAACTTTTTAGTACAAAAATTAAAAATTATGTACAAGAAAATTGCTTTAAGAAGCAATAAGAAAGTCGTCCCAAACGAAACCTTAGGCTTCATTTAGGATGACCTTTTTATTGCTTCTTAAAACAGAATTTCAGTTAAAAATTTTTAATTTAGTTAAAAAAATTTAATTTTTTTTTGGGACATTTAGGCCATTTAAGGCAAAATCACACACACAACGCATACACAAAGACTCGAACCTTGAACCTCTTAGTTGGAAGCCTAAGCTCTCAACCAATAGGCCATTTTTTAAATAAAATTCTATTTTAAAAAGCAATAAAAAAATAATCATAAACGATTCCTTAATCATTTATTTCTTCTATCATGATATATCATGAATATTAAAGTTTTTGTGTATGTTATGAACAATTGCAAAAAGATTGATTAAAAAAATTCTAATATAGATCCTAAATTGAGAGAAACTTGTTATGATTTCTTAAAGAATTAATTTATATATAATGAAAATTAGAATCAAAATTATACTCACATGCCTTGCCTTTACTTGATGTGATCCATTTTTGCAAAAAATAATTATATTAGATTGGGATGTGACATTACTGGGGGTTAGGATAGACCTCCTTATGGAGGTAGCGAAAGACTTGATTTAAAAATATAAAAGGTGGTCAATGATGACTTCAAAATTTGGTTAAAATTTTAGAATTTCCATATCATCCAAAGTTTATAACATTCAAAATGAGCACAAATGTTATTCATTTAGATATGTTAAGAGTAAAATTATAGCCTTTATCTTGATTATGTTGAAATTTTTCTCATTTATATTTTCTTAAAAAAATTTTTACAGTAGAAAGCTGTTTTCTACAACAGATTTCAAAAAGGTTACTAAGGTTACTCGCCAAGACACAAACACATCATTAAGGCCACCAAAGTACTCGTCAAGATGCAAAGGCACTTGCTGTAACCAACATGGTACTCATTAAGATGCTACTGCATTCATAGAGATACTCAGGATTCGTTTGGGACGGCTTTCTTACTGCTTTTTAAATCAACTTTCTAATTAAAAAATTATAATTTTTATACTTGAAAGCTGCTTTAAAAAGCAATAAGAAAGCCATCCCAAACACATCCTTAGACATTCATTGAGATGCCAGCATGCTTGTCGATACACTTGACACTAGCTGAGACCACCAAAGCACTCATTGAGACACTAATGAATACGTTGAGGCATCCAGGAACTTACCAAGACAATACTGCACTCGCCTAACCACTAAGGTACCCATGGAGGTATCAGTGCATTAACTGATGCACTTATGGAAGATGCTAGTGTACTGGTTAAGACCAATGTGCACTCGCTGAGATATCTATGTGCTTATTTTGTCTGCCTGTCAAGTCTCCTATGAATGTATCGAATTAGCCCAACATACACACTATGCAATCGGCTAAGTTTATATCAATTTGTGGAGAAATTATTATGTGCAAACACCGGACAGAGAGAACCGTCCGGATTTGCTGCGCTTTTGCAAAAGGTCAGCAAAAGTGCAGCAAATATTTAATGTTTACTAAATAATTGATTATTTGTTACGTTTTTGCAAAAGGATAGTAAAAACACATTCATAATTAAATAATTGCTGTCATTTTACTATCTTTTGCAAAAGCGCAACAAAAAGGTAGCAAAAATGCAGCAAATCTGGACGGTTCTCTCCGTCCGGTGTCCGCACAGAATAATTTCTCCAATTTGTGTCACGAGCGCAGAAATTCCCCCCCAAAAAAAGTTCAAACAAAGTGAAGAATTACATATAGCGAAGCTGAAATTCCAACAAGCTGAAATTATATACACTACTGCAAATAAGCTAACGTGGAGAAGAAGCTTCAAAGAAGTTCTACATGTTACAATGATCGCATACTAAGCATTAGGAAGTCGCTCTTCTGGCGTTTTTTTTTTTTTTTTACAAGAATGGTTTACAGACAAACAAAATGATGAAACAGACTAATCAGCCCTGCTAAATTAACAAATTTGATCGTGTATGCAACTCAACTTTAAAGAAATTGCTTCCATTAGCATAATTGAAGATTATCTTTGTTGCAGGATGTGAAATTTCTTCAGAAAATTGGCTCTTTATGGGAGAAGAACGGTGAAGATCATACAAGAATCAGAAGGAACAATGAGGTAAAAAGCAGATGAAATTTCATAAGTATTCCTTGTTTACCTGCAATAGAAGAATCGTTTTTATTCTGTATGTCGATGACTTCTTAAATAAGCAGATGAGCTGAAGTAACTTAGCGTAAACCAGAAAAAAAAAAAATTAAAGCAGAATCATGAACCAAATCCTTACATAAACTGACTACATAACTCTAGAATGAAGTTAAAATTAAACCAAAAAATGTTAAGAGTCCCATTTCCCATTTACAAATGAGAGATCCTCTTGTCATGGGAAGACTTAAATATACCCTCTCTCTTACTCTTTTCTAGCCTCCATTCCATGCTTCCTAAATTTTGAACCCAAATCAACCTCCAAAAAATCATCCTAACCTAATTGAATTTGGAGAGTGCTAACCATGCCATAAAAAAATACCAAATAAGACCACTTTCTAGCTAAACCATTTGTATAATCCTTGAAGAAAGTCCTTTCCTTGAAATCCTCAGCAAATCATTCAAAGTTCGAGTTTGAATGTCCCATAAAGACCGATATAGCGGACAATATTACTCACATTCAATTACAATGTAGGCCATCCTTAATTGATTATCACAAATAAAAGAATTCAAATGGAATCAAGGCTTCGTTTGGGATAGCTTTCTTACTGTTTATAGTAGCTTTCAAGTACAAAAAAATTTAATTTTTGTTCTAAGAAAATGCTTTAAGCAGTAATAAAGCCGTCCCAAACGAAGCCCAAGTCTGACAACCATGAAGAATGTATTAAAATAATATTTCCCACAAATTTGTCTTTGGGCAACTAGTTGAGCTTTGCACTGATCTACCAAATGAGTAGGAAAATTTTTGATTTGGAACACCCAACAAAAAAATCAAATGTATGAAGACTGAGTAGAGCAATCATTTTAACATTTATAGCTTGTTTCTATAGAGGACTATGCAAAGCTTCTTGATATGTCATGAGATTATATAAATATGATTGGGAAGAGACAAATGCATAGAAGAATGCGATAAATGATCAAACAATACATAAGAGGGAGTGGGATGAGCAATAAAATGTTTTTTTAACTCTATGTAAGGCAATTGATAAAAGTATTATTACAGAGCTCATCAAAAGGAGGATGCTCAATCAATTATGATAACGTGGATGAAGATAATGTTGTAGAATATCTCAGTTTTTATGAGCAAATCTTTAGAGGAGAAGAGGTAGGCATAGGAGCTTTTGGAGGAAAATGAACTTGTAAAGCTATGAAAGAGGAGGAGAAAACAAAGGGGTAATCATCTCATGAAAAGTAACTTCAGCCTCTATGTATAAGTTTAACAAGGGGACCATAACAATATATTATTTCTAAGTGCGAGTATACTTGAAAAAATATACACTTAACAACATGAGGAAAAAGCTAGTGATGCAAGTGAAAAGCGTGAAACAAGAAAACAACAGAAAACCACAGGTGTTAAAAAAATGTAGTTTAATCACGATAAAAGTACGTATGAAATAATAGTGAGAAGAGCAGAGAGAAAATACAATTGAGGAGACAGTGGGTTGTCCATATTACATACCCCTAAAATTGATAAGGGACTTCCATAAAACATCAATGGCCTAGTAACATCAAGCAAATGATGGTTTTTACATTTAGCAATACTATTTTGTTGAGGTGTATTAGGAGAAGTTTATTAAATAATACCATTTTAAGAGCAACAAATTATGGGCGGCCGGAAGGTTGCCATGAGTAAGGTTGAGAGACCGAAGGCAGTTTTTTGTTCGGACATCTCCTTCGCTTAGCGCATCTACCTGAAGCTTTCGAGTTCCCCACCAGCTTTAGTCGCACCGCCCGCTCATAGATCATCATTACTCAGTGACGGATCTTAGATCTTTTATTGGAACCGCTCCGGGGGCTTATTCAAATAGAAACTCCATCTTTGCTCCGCATCTTTGCCTTCGTTGTTGGGTACACAGCTGCGACAAACCCTAATCTCTCACAAGGCGGCCCGCCGGGCTGTCCGGCCGATCATTTCGCTGGCATCTTGCATTCACACCCCCGTAGTCAAACTCCTGTTCCCGTTCGTGATCCCCGGACAATGAAAACTTCCGGATACTCATGCCCGATCGTGAGACTGTCTGTTGAATGTTGATGGCATGTTGCTCCGACCTGAGCTATGAAACAACGAGATTTCCCTTGATCTTTGCCGGATGTGCTTGACGGTCCCCCATAAGACGCTAACTTGGGGACTTCTTACTCCAGCTGTTCCAAGAGTCTCCACTAGTAATCTCGCATTCAACCTTGTTTTATCCATCTCCGTCCGAGATGGCTACCCCTGCCGCATGTGTATGAAATCAAATAGGTCTTGCATTGGTCTTCAATTAGTCAATAGCTTAGTTGTTCCCGTATCCTAGCTTTCATAGATGCATGTCACCCTACTGTGGTTGTCATCCCACTTTCTTCCCGTCCACTCATCTTTCTATTCACTAATATAAGATTTGTCTAAATTTTAGAGCATTATTTGTGCATAAATTTTAATTAAAGTGGACATAATAAATCTTATTATTTGAAAAAAAAAGTATGAAATACATCGAAAACTTTTGATCGAGTTTTGACAAAAGTAGACTGGCGATCTTTGGAAAATCATCAATCAAAGTGACAAAATAACATAATGATAAGTATGAATAGGAGAAGGAACCCAAAGGTCTTAGTGAACTAACTCAAAAAAGGAAGATTATGCCTAGTGGTAAATGAAGTAGAAGACAAATGATAGTGTATGGAACTCGTAGACGGGATAACCAAACTTGGAGAGAGATAAGGAGACAAAATCCAAAAGTCTATACAAAGGAGGATGAACTAATCAATAGTGTCATTAATAAGAGTTATATTAGAAGATTGGTGGAAGGTTCATCAGTAATCAAGTAGTGAATTTTGCCAGCTTCAACACCTCTATCAATTGTCTTCTTTACACTGAAATACTAAAGAATAAAATGAGGAATAAAAAGTTATGGAACAATTATAAGTTTTAATATGATAGTGAATAGATACTAGGTTTATAGGAAACTATGGTACATATTGTTGAACCCAGATTTGTTCGGTGGATGATGCTAGGATACTTTATGCTACCTGTAAGCTTGAGAGCCTGTGAGCGAGGATGATGAAGGCAAAGAAAAAGATGGAGAGAGGAAAAAAGAACGAAAAGTAGATGCAGACAAAATTTTTATTAACCCAACCAAAAAGAACAAGAATAAAAGAACGAGAGCTTAAGCTAGAAAAAGGAATATTGGCATAGTATCTCTCTATATATTTTGGCATACTCTTAACTCAAGCTTTGATTGCTTTTCTCTTCTTCTCCTATCCCATATTTATAGGGTTTGGAGAGTTATAATGGAAGTTGCACGAAGTACAGGAGTTGTACTATCGGCTTTCGATAGAGCTCGACCGGCTTTGTAAAGTGACGTGGTGATTCTTGTGAAAGAGTAGGCATTGAGTAGGAGGCCGATTATGATGTCGTCCTGTTAAGGTGAGAAGGAGCGAGTAAGACCTTCATGCGGGTCTTCTAAGATCGAGCTGGCGTTGAGTGGGATGCTGGTTTGGTGTCCCTCCGTTGGGAGTGAGTAGAGAGTTGTCGCAGATCACTGAGCTCAGTGGCGATCAAAAGGAGATCTTGTGGATGAGATATGTGCCTTTAACTTGATTTTTGATAAAAGACTTGACTTTGGTCGAGATGAATAAAGATTTATCCGACTGGGAGAGGAACTTCCGTGGTCGCCCTCACTGAGGACTGTTGCCTGGAGTATGTGGTCAGAGGTCGTCCATCATGCTCTAGTGATCAGCACATGCATGTGTCCCGCAATCGGATCCTCCTGGCGGGGGAGAGTGAATCTCCTTCCGCACAACCCAAACGTAAACTGTAAGATACCTGCGAGAAAGTACTTGCACAAGCAACCATGGATGCACACATATTATGTCATCTCTTCTGCTAGATCCATTGCTAATGTTTCAATTTTTATGTCTTGAATTTTAGATTCAAGCGCTTTTTCTCATATGGTAACCGCCAACCACTTTTCTCTCTTTATATGTCCTATTTACCCCACTTTCATTTTTGTTAATGGTCCTCGATGCAAAGAGAGTTTAAGCAGACAATTATAGACATCCTTCAAGAGAATAACATATCCGAAGTTGGAAGCACTAAAAGGAGTAGGTCGGTCTAAACTGATTGTGAAAGCATGTTGGGTATGGAGCAATAACTAAATTTTTCCTAGTAATGCTCAAGAGGGTGATTGATTCAGTTGTAATGATAGCAAGTTGAAAAGACATTACAAATATAGCCACTGTTAGCACATGTAAACAAACGGCTCTACTACACCATAATAAAGAACGCATGCACCCTGTTATTCCAATGTGCAGAGCTACACGGCACAATGAACAGCTTAACAAACTGTACTTAGTCATTCTATATATACACTATTACAAGCACTGGAATGAGACGATTTTGTAATGCAAACGTTACAGTTTTTACTTCCCTTCTACTTCTATTTTTCTTGCTCAGCTGCTCTCTGATAATCAACATGGTATTAGAGCACTAAAGGCTACTGCCACTTTTCTGTCAGATGGAAGAACAGGACTTCCAGCACCCAACAAGCCTCCTCTCTCTCTACATCAATGGTCGAATATACCATAACTTCTCCTCTCAAATTTCTGATGTCCAAAATCAAACTCATTGTCAATCTTCAACTAACAAATCACAATTATCCTATTTAGCGATTGCAGGTGTTTAAACTGTTCTCAGTAAACGGATTTGAAGGCAATCTAACAGAGTTTTCAGTGCCCACCCGAGCCCACCTCCTCTCTCCCAATCCCACCTCAGAGCTTATCAACTATCGCTTATGGCAACTAGTCGACCAAAATATAGTTTCATCTCTCCTCTCAACCATCTCCCCATCTATTCTACCCTACATCCTTAATCTCATAATTGCTCATGAAATATGGACAACTCTCGAACTTCAGCTTCAACTTACAAACTGATCTTGTGTGATTCAATTAAAAAACGAATTACAACATATTCAAAAGGGT